GACTGTCTGGGCTTTCACTGGATGTCCAGGGCGCTAGGCACCGAAAGAGTGTTACACCTAAAAGCTTGTTGCTTATTTCACTATATCCAGAGTTAATATCACTGTTCGGGGGTTTGTCCGATCAGAGGGCTACGTTGTTGCGAATCCTCAATATATGTTTTCCACCTAACCAGAAAACAATTTTCCAATTGAGTTCACAAGATTACCACTGGGCGGCGACAAACGATTGATTATTTTTTTGAATTAATAGCAGTGACAAACAGCGTGTCTAGACGTAACACACTACTCATAAGGTTGCTGAAAACACTTGGGCAGCCACCGACCGGTTTTGTCCTTCTTGGGGTTCATCAGGTAGGCACAATCCCCGAGTTTCCGTCAACTTTATGTTCCACTTGAACCCAAATTCGAATGTTTTCAAGAAATACACTCATTCACATGCCAACTGGTTTTGACGGGAGACTCATCTAGGACCCAGCTGAATCTCGTTTATGATGTTTTCAAGCAACTGAGTGTGCTGCACAAGGCCGCCTCGTGTTTCAGCTAGTACGATATGCCTCATGTTTCAGTTGGTACGGCAGTCGAGATATCGCGATGCACATATGGATGTAATACACTACTCGTAAGGTCGCTGAAAACACTTGGACAGTCGACGAAGTCTTGCCCATTGTTCCATCCGAGTGAAGGTTGGTTAGTCGTAGTTTACGGCCTTTTCTTCCTAATAATAACTTGAAATGATCCTTGACAATGGGCGAAATCTTGCCTGTTGTTCCACCCGAGTGAAGGTTGTTTAGTTTTAGGTTACGGCCCTTTCCTCATAACCATAGCTTGCAATAGTCTCTATTATTCGCTTAATTTCTACCCTTTTAGCTTTTATTTCAGCAAAATTTGAAGTTACTTAGTCATATGTGCTCAGCATGGACAAATTGTAGAAAGCAGTGCGAAGGCTGAAATGGTCTTAATATGCGCCGTAACTGATGGTCCCCTCGGCAGATGGTCCATTCTTCCATCAGGCGTAATGACCCCAGATGAGTAGCGTTCAAAATGTTTCCATGGGATAGTGAGTACCATTGTATCAGTGAGAAAGTTGCAGGAATCTAACTCACCCTGAAACGTCAGCCCAATAAGTGGGTCGCGAGCATGCAGAGCGAGTCAGTTAGCTGTTCACTGATTGGTTGTTGGTCTGTTCACCGAGCCTAGCAGTTGGATTGAAAACGTCTCATCACCAATTGACGTGACATCGTCGATCCCGTACTGACGATGTCATCTCCATTGGTGATGAAACGTCTGCAATTCAACTGCCCAGCTCGACGAACAGACCAACAGTCGATCAGCGAACCCGAGTAACCTATATTCCACAACACTGTTAAGGTTGTTGACAACTGATCAGCGCACCAGAGTACCCTATATTCCACA